TAGGATCTTGAGGTAACGTTATAATATGTCCTTTAAGTTTATGATGCGAATGTCTTCTGTTTGATATCTGAACAAGGTTCATGCATTGATATCCTGGTGAAATGATAAACTGTTCTGGAATAGTTAGATCGTGAAGGCATGGTGGCGTAGGACCTACCCACATGTTGTTTGCTAAGGATAATGGTGGAGTTTTATGATTTTGTAGATACCTATGACAAGTCTTACAAACTCGAAGATTAAATAAGCTAGGATTATTTGGAAATTCTAAGGAATATACAAATCCAGCTCGATCAAGTAAAATTTTAAATCCAATAGAATCGATATACGGATGGTTATAATAAAAATCTATTTCAAACATTGGTTCAGTAAGATGAGCTGGAGCTGCAATTAAAGAAAAATCTATATCTTTGACAGCAATTTCTTTATAATTATTTTTAATATTGAGTTCAGAACAGATAGCACACGGTAATTCTCTTAAATTATTGAGATCGACTTTATCACGAAATTCTGCTAACCTATCTTTTGATACTTCAGGATCGATTGGTTGTGGCCATGTAGCATAATCTTTAGCTGCCTTATCAAATTCTTCATTCATTTCTAACACACGCAGAGGGATATTAGCAATTTCTGCTTTTTAATCTTTTTCAAGACGAGCAATAACTTTTCTTCGCTTTTTTCGATTAAGCATAGCAATATTAGATGCCTGAACATATGTTTGATTCTGACGAAGCTCTATCATACGGTGGTGCGATTTACTATTCTCAGCTTCCCTAAATTGTGGATTTGCACGCTGAATTGCCTTTTGCTTGCGATTTTTTTCTTTTCTAATTTCACCCCTTGTTTTAATAATGACCATAATGTATGTCATGCTAAAATATATCAAATTAGGCTTCTTTATACACGCATATTTTTTAAAGACACATCGCTACGTTACTGATACCAGTCTTACAGATCACACGTAACATACACAATAATAAACACGAATACCAACTTGGACGGTTTCAAGCTATCAGATAAGTTTATCTGAAAAAAAAATTTTCTGCTTATTAATTATTAACATATGGTCTATCTGCTTCCTGATCTAATTGACAACTAACACATTACATAAATAACATAACATAATGACACGATATAAACAGTAAAAGTAATATTAATAATACTTTTAACATTATTTTGCACCATTATCTTCTTGCTACGTCAATGTAAATATGTATAATACACGTTAATGCAAACGCGATGCAAATAGAAACGTCAATCATCATTAACGAATGATTGCGTCAAACGTGGCATGATCATATATTGACTACGTAGGACAAACTTTTCATAACACCAATTATTAAATGCGATGTTGGTACGTACATCAACGGCTAAGCAACTAAAATCTGCCACTGTTTAGTCACATGGTAGTGCTCTAAAAGGTTTCCTCAATTAAATGCGAATCCGAAATTATCCGAATTTAAATATTTAGAAATCATAGCCAACCGTGGCACCCAACCAAATGCAAGAGTTTATGGACGAACATCCTTGAACATTTTGGTAAACCATACTCTCCGTTTTCACTTACGGAAAACTCCGTTCCTGGTATTATTAAAATTTTTTCGTATACAGGACGTATAATATATAAAAAATACGAATTGGCACCACTAACGTCAAATTTCGAACAGACTAATTGCGTTTATTTCTACAAAGTATAATAATCATCTGTTGCCATGTTCGATCAGTAGTGTGACAGATTAAAGTACAATTTATATTTATTGTGGTTTGCAAAAAAGTGAGACCCACGGATTTCGTGATAACAATAGTGGGAAATTTCAGAGATTCTAGATCGTCTATTAATCATATATTTAATCAATAATATTTTTTATTTATCCTGAGCGTAGTGGAGGACACTCTAATTTTACGAAAGCAAATGATCTTTATTATCACGTGATGAATTCCGTTTGTCTGCTTTCGTGCTTTCCGGACATACAATACTACGCATTACCTAGTATATTTGGAAACTTGTATAATTCTCTTAGAATCGAAAAATTGCACAATTTCCCATGATTTTACATGACACGATGATTTGCAGAGGTCTTACTAGGTGCCGCACAAAAAAATGCGCAGTTGATCCTCGGCCAATCAAAAAAATTTAGGCCAAAATTACTCAAATTTTTACTAATGAAATTGCGATACCCATTAAGTGAAAAGTGTTCCTGGGCTAATTTTACCATTGGTGGGCCCAAACCTTAAAAATTTCTAATCTGGAATTAAAAAAATTAAAAAATTAATTCCGGCCAAAATTATGTATAATGCGGGCCAGAATTTTGTCGATAACAGCCGTTGGCCAATCAAAATCGAGGATCAACCGCGCATTTTTTGTGCGGCACCTAGGTTTAATGGTTATACCTCTTTGCAAACTGCAATAATGTTAGGAACACAATAATGAAAATCAAAATCAGTGATAGAAATCTTAAAATCATTTTAGTCGTAAATAGTTATTTCTTATATACTTTTCTATTAATGTTTAATCTATTACGTATTTAATGGTGTTTTTAATTCATTTGTTATTTAGTGAAGCTTGAATTATGTGTTTTTTATTATGAAGATGAGATTTTATTGTTAATGGAGTATTATAATAACATGACAGTTAGCAACTTGATAAAATAATTTATCTTAGTTTATTGAGAAAAAATTCTCAAAGTAATAACTTTGGCTAGTTGAAGTTTCAAATTTTTTCTTTTTGCTGGAATTAAAGATTCAAAAGGTAAATTTAAATTGGATTTCTGATTAGTTTTTTTATCATTATCATAAATATTATCCTAAAAATTATTTTCTAAAATATTACTACTATTGTTTTCATCGTAATCATCAGCAAAAAAATATTATTGATTTTGTATTTTCATGTAATAACGCCCATAAATGTTATTTCAATTTTTGGCTAGGGTTGTGTTACATAAATTACAATTTTACATTACATGTAATTTTACGTAAGTTACAGAAAATCAAATTTCATG